TATTTCTCACAGAAACAACAGGTGTGCACTCAACCACAAGCACATCTGTCTAATCTCAGACAGGACCACAATAGTCACCCAATCAGAAAGCAGCACCACCAGGATGCCCGAGCAGGAAGTGGATCCCAAAACAAAAGAAGGGACTTTCCCTAAGTAGTCACATGCACAACAACAGCAAAAGCTGTCCTTTAGGTGAATGTATGACACAGAGGGGCTTATTATAATATCATTATCATACATACATGCCCCCCAAAGGGCTTTTCTGTATGCATTGTGGGAAATTGCATGTGCAGTTCCACCAAGGCTGGGATCCCTCCCCTATTACCTAATCCCTTTACAAACCCCTCCTGCCTTTGTAATATTAATGATTTCTGTTGGTAATCATCATCATTACACTATAAAATTGCCTGTCTTCCTCTGATAAGTTGCCGGTTCCTCTTGGAACCCAGCCAGCTTCATGAGAGGTGTCACTCTCAGCAAATGCCCTTACTTGGATTGGAGATGATCTGATTCTGAATTCTTTCAAGATGACCACCACAACACATCATGAAACTGCAACAATTCTATGCTGTCCCCCATTTCAAGCTTTCCTAGATGCACTGTGAGATCAGGTGCTATCTTGGAAAATCTACATTGTACAGTTTGTTTGTATTCAGATTGACTCCTAGACCATCTCCAGAAGCCTCTCCCTCCATGATTTCCATTACCATCTTTCCAAGCTAACTCCTTCCAACTTTTTGGTCCAATGCCAGGATCATAAATTTTGACTCTCCTTTGGGCATCTCCTTATAGAGTCCCTTTCTTCTCCCTTACCCCAACTTCTAGTATTAGCCTCCTTTTGACAATCCATTCCTTGCCTTGGGGAAAGGAGGTTATGAAGGTTAGATACCCAAGAAAGACAATTAGGATATAAGAATGGGAAATTGAGGAAGAAGGGCCACCCCTCCCCCCATACAATCATTAATGACATTGATCATTATTTACTTTAACTGATAACCTTGAATTCTAAACTCTACCCTCTAAACTTAGTCATGATATGAAACTTGACCCATAAGCCTAAAGAGGCATACTTTCTGATCACAACTCTAATCCTAACCTGAAACACAACCTGAATACTAGCTGTTCTATAACTCATGTTTTTCTCACCTCTGTTAATCACCCTGAATCCTAACCAATCACAGGAATTCCCAACCTCAATGTTAAACCAGGACTCTTAGCCCCTGTCTCGTAAAGAAAATCCTGTCCTTGAACTCTAAAGTCTTAATACTGAATGCACTTTGAACCATATACTTAAACTCTTAAGTCAGTGTTTCCCGATTTTTTTTCATTACGTGACCCATCTTAAGAGTGCTAAATTTTACAATGGTGAGATTTGTACATGTTTTCTTGCTGGGGAAATATGAGGCACCAAAAAATGGTAGAATTTCATGTAAATACTGGCAAAGTGAAGGTGATGGTGGGCCTTTGAAAAATATTGGCTCTATAAATTAAGATATAACAAGAGGAGGGGAAAGAAAAAGAAAGAAAGAATAAATGGAGTTTAAAAGAAAATAAGTTAAGAGAAAAAAGAAACAAAATCAGAAAAAGAGAACTTAAGAGAAAGACAAGGAAGACATAAGAAAAAGAAGTGAAGGATAAGAGGGCATAAGAATGGAAGGGGAAAAACATCGTGGTAGCGCTGAGAACAAGGATGAAAGGATGGAGGGAAGAAAAAACAGATATAAAGAGTGTTAGATAATCAGGAAATAAAGCAATGGGAAGGACATGGAAGGGACAGTTTAAAAAATGGGAAAAGACAGAGCAAAAAGGAATGAGAGACATTGAGAGAGAATGAGAGACAGGAAAGGAATGAGAAAAGAAAGGAAAGGTGGAAGAATGGGAAAGAAAAAAGGTTGGCTTTTTCAGGGGGTCAGGAGAGATTTCTTGCAACCCCTTCCCACAAACAGCTTTAAGGCTGTGTCAGCCGATTTCCTCCAGTTTTGAAAGAGGATGGTGAGCAAAGGAAGCTGGGAAAGGGAAAAGGCTGAGATGAGCAGGGACAGGAAATCTTTTCCCACTGGAACTCTTACTTCTTCTTTCCCAGTCTCTTTTTTTTCCATCTCTCCATGATGTGTTGCTCCACTCTTGCTCTTTTCCTCCATCTCCTCCAGAAAGGACGCCAGTTTTGGAGTCAAGGGACCAACTTGTAAATCTGCTATTTACACACTTTGTCCAAAGTGTGACTTTGGACAAGCCACTTGTCTTCTCTGGGCCTCAGCTATTTTATCTATAAAAAGAAGGGATTAAACTAAATGGTTCCTAAGGTACCTTCCATCTCAATCTATAATCACATTATCTTTTGCTCTTCTCTTGTTTTCCCTTTTCCTGTCCCTTCTTCCTCTCTTCTCTATGCCTTTGTTATACCCTCTTCATCCTCTCCCCTTCCTCCTTTCTTATTCTTTTTATTTCTTTATTTCATTCTTTCTTCAAACCCTCATTTTTTCCTCCTTTTTTTAGTCTCCTTTCCCTCCCTTATCCTTACTTTCTCAGCTCTATTTCCTACATCTCCTTCCTTCCTCCTCTCTTTATTTTAGTCAATCAAGATTCAGTCAGCAAGATTGATGGTATTTTATGCTTCCAAAATTCCTATTATTTTCCTACCAGTAATTTGCCCAAACTTCTACTCAGGTTTATTCACAGGAAATCTCAAACCCAATGGAAGTCACAGAAAAGTTCAGACTTTAGAGGCTGGTCCAACTGTCAGTGGCTTGGAACATCTGCAGCTGTTGATTGACTGTAACCCTGTGCCCCCTCTGTCACAACAGTACGAGATGTAGTCCTCAATTGTAAATAACTGCCAATGCTTCACAGCTGTATCAGTATCTGCAGACAGAGACATTGTCCTTAAGTGAAAGTAGCAGGGTTGCACATAAACACATGTGTGTATGAGTGTATGAGTGTGTGTGCATGTGTGTGTGTATACACATATATACATCTATGTGTATGTATACATGTGCACACATTTTATTGTGTGTATGTATGCATGCACATGCATGTATATATGTATACACACACATAAATTCAATGCTGGGGACTCTAACTCCTTACCAGATTCTTCATGGAGCTATTGCAGAGTATTCTCAATGTAGATAAAATGAGCCTGGTACTTCACAGAACTCTTACCTGAAGTGTGCAAAAGGTAGTCAACCAAACCCTACTCTTGTGCCTATTTCCCTCTGAGTCAGCACCTGAGTCAGCAAGTCTGAGGGACTGGAAACTCCTGATGGAGACCTGGCTGGTTTTTGTGGCTGAAAGGAGGCACAGCGTCAAGGTGGTGAGGGTCCATATTTATCAGGTGATCAAAGATGATCAAGGTGATCAAGTCGGCTTCTGATGAAATTGGGACCAAATTAGTCTGGTTAGACAGGTGTCTGAGAATGAGGTCCATTTCTAATAGTGAGAATAGTGGGGAAAAGACACTAGGAATGAAAAAAGATTGAAAAACACTGCCATGTTTTTTTAACCATATCCTTCAGCCCAAATTATAATCATTGCACTAACTTATAAATTGAGATTGAATCTTAATTCTAATCTATTATGCCCACCTATAAAAATCCCTTTTCCCCCAACTCTAACCTATGCCCAAACCATAATTCTAACTATAAGCTAAATCTTTACTCTTAACCATAATATCTTAAAACTTAACCATAATTCTTAGCCTACACCTTAATTCACCCTAATCCTAAATCCCTACCTCAATCCCCAAACATGAATCATCCCTTGGAATTGACCACCAGAGTCTAATTATGAATAAGGCCTTTAGACATAACTTTCAACTGCAGTGTGGATCCTGAAACTTGACTTTAAGGGGAAGTCACTATCCCTAACACTATAACCATCCCTTTCCCTAACCTTTAACCCTAACTCTGCCCCTAAACTAGCTAGTTAATGTATCCCAATCGTTAGCACTTGGTAATAAACCTCTACCAACCAAAGTTTTCTGTAACCTTAGGTGTATGTATAGGTTCTCCCACCACCCTATCCCCAACAAAAATAAAATAAAGCAACTCACCACAGTTTGGAAGGCGTATGGGATCATATTGACAAGCAATATCAAACTTTGGTCCTTTGTCTTCTCTCTCCTTGTTTTTCTCCTCTTTCTTCTTTTGTCTCTTCTCTTCTTGTTCTTTTTCCATCTACTTCCTCTTGACACTTTCTTTTCCCTTTCAATCCCCCTTTGCTACCCCTTCCCTTCCCATTCCCCACCTCCCTCCCTCCCTCCTTCCCCTCTCCTTCATTAAAATAGCTTGGCCTTTATTTTCCCAAGGCCTGTCAACTTTTGTATCCCTTAACGCCTACATCAAATCTCCAAAAAGCATGTAGGCTCTGATGTATACACTTATGGTCACAGAGAGATTTAGACCTAACCACAATCCTTCTCCAATGCCTCAGCATAACATGGAGGCAACAGGGAGTTGGCGAAAAGACTGCCAAGGGAATGCAAGCTCTGGCTAGGTTGAGGAGATCTAGAAAACCTTCAAACCTGAAATGGCCCAGACTCTGCGTGTGCTTTCCAGGACCAGCCTGGGGAAATATGGAAAGGTTCACACCAGAAGCCTGTCCACTGGATGATGGAATCTCATACCAAGGTACAGAGAAGTTGTGATCTGTAACACGGTGGGGTCTGTCCTACATGAAGAAGACCATGATGAAGACCAGATTCCTGAATTATTGAAGCATGTCTCTTTAAACCTTATATACAACTCATAACTCACCTCTCCTTTAACTCTTATGGGCTTTAAGTGCACATCTCCAGCTGGATATCACTATATCACTAGATCTACTTGTGTTTTTCTATCTGGTCTGTTCCACTGTCTTTGACTGCCTAGCTGCCTGGGTGTGACACTGTCTGTCAGTTTGTAATTGGATCTACCTGGCTAGGTCTACCTTAGACTGAGTGACTACATCTAACTATCTGAATAACTGGGCTTGACTATATCTTTCTATATTTGTCTGCATAGGTAACCTGATCTGTCTATGTCTTTCTATTATATTATGTATGATTCTGTATCTGTCTGGGCCAGCTGGTCTATGTTTGATTGTATATGATTGAGACTCTCTGAGCCATAACTAGGTCAGGATACCTGTGCTTTGCCCCCAGGGTACCGAAAATGAAAGGATGACAAGTACATTGTCCCAGGGCATGCTCCCTCCCTATGTCAACTGCAGCCCAGATAGGTTACACACACACACACACACACACACACACACACACACACACGCACACATGCACGCACACGCACACGCACACGCACATGCACATGCATATATGCACACACACATATGCACACATGCACATACGTACACACATGCACACACATAACACCCTGCCCTACCCTGGACACAAAAATTCTTAGTTATAGTTCTAGTCTGGTTGTATCTGACGGCATATGACTGATCGGATCTGCCTAGGCTGACTAGGTCCATCTGATGGTTTTGCTATAAGGTTGGCTAGGTTAGGACCTCTTAAGCAGTAAGCAGGAGGAGTGAGAGCTCCTTCACACTGCTGAATATACCGTCTCATCTCATGTCATCTCTGCTCCACTCTGATGAAGACCCTCCTCTGCTATTCCTGTCTCCAGCCATCACTCACAGGCTGCTTACTAGGGATCTCTACTGAAGGAGGGCCCGGTCACGCTTCCATACCCAATGTTCAGGCTGATATGCCTGAATCTGTAAAGGAGTAAAACAAAACAAAACAAGATGTGACTATGCACACAACCTTGCAATCTTGAGGCCTATACCCTCTCATAGCCTAAAGCCCAGTCACAGATTCCCCATAAAAGTACTCCAGACCCCACTTCTCCTCCCCAGAATATCTTACCTCCTCACACTCTTCTCGGGTAACCCATGCCTTCCAACCAATGGCCCGGAAGAGTTGGGCCCGAAGCCACTGGAACTTGGCACGCTGGGTGTGGTCTTGGCCATAAAGGAAGGTTAACATGCTACGCTTTGGCCCTTGGCGATCTTCTTCCATGTCATTGGCCAGGTAGCTGTGGGAGGCCAAGAGGGGGCACATGGTTTAGCCTTAATCTCAACTTTTCAATTAGTGAGATCTTCTTAGATCTTTACCAAACTATAATCTATATCCCTCTACTTCCTGTGAAGTGACAGAGAGCTCCATCAATGGAGCAACTCTACCACATCCTCTGCATAACCACTCAGACCCACAGAATCCTAGGATTTCAGAATAGGCCACCCTAGGGTGGCCAATCCAAAGTTGAGTACCTTTTACAATATCTTTAGCAAGCTGTCAGTCAGCTTCCATTTAAAGACATCCAGTGACAGAGAATTCACCACTGACCCCCCCAAAATAATTCATTGATTGTTAATGGAAATTTTTATAAATGAAGATGAAATCTTCCTCTCTTTTTTTGTAAATTTTCCCCATTGCTTCTAGTTCTATACTCTAGCGCCAAGCAGGAAAAAAAAAAAAAACTTAATCTCTTTTCTACATGATTGCTTTTAAAATAGAATCATAGTATTTTACATCTGGAAATGAACTTAGAAGTTGCCTTGAAGGCAATGCTCATGTTCCCAAGTCTTCCTTTCTCTAGGATAAATAGTCTCAGAGTCATTAACCAATCTTCTATAAGCTATGGTACGTAGGCCCCATCACCATCTTGGACATACTCCTGCAGGAGTCTAACGTTAGCATTCCCTGCTTTGATGAGAACTATACAGTTGTGGCCCCCTTTCCTCTCATCCTTCTTTACTGGTATGATCAATTTGGCAAAGCTAATGAGAGAAAAGTTTTGCCCTGAGAAGGTCATTCTGAGTTCTGACAGCAGAGAAGTCACTGAATGCCAGAGCTAGAAGGATCCTTAGAAATTATCTAATTCAATCCTGCTCCCCACATCTGACAAAGGAGGACACTGAAGCCCAGAAAAGGGAAAGGATTTAGCCAAGTTTACAGAGCAAGTTCAAGGCAATTCCAGGACAGAACTCAGGCCTGCAGATTTAGTAGTTTTGTCTTTCATTTTATTGCTAGCACTTAATACAATGCCTGGCACATAGTAAACACTTAATAAATGCTTGTGGACTGACAGATAAGATGAATTAAGGCTCAGAGGGGTCAAATGCTTTGCCCCAAATCCCATAAAGGATTAGCAGATGGAGGATAGTTGTTCTGGAAAGAGAGGGAGGCCATCGGATAAGGGGAATGAGAAACCACTCACAGAGCCAGGAAGAAATGGAGGCGCTGGTATTGCCAAGAAGGACGGCCAGCCCGGCCAAAGTAGGCTATAACCATTGCTAGGAGGTACTGATGAACAGAGAGAGAGAGAGAGAGGGTCACTGTCAGGAAGGGAAGGAGATAGACAACTACACAGTGGATATACTCAGGACGAGATAGAGTTGTGGGGAGTCTGGATAGGGGAAGTTTGGATCCTGTCTGGGGCAGAGCAAGACAATAAGTTGTGGAGAATGGGTTACCAAAACAGGGAGAGAAAAGAGGAGACTGTGGGACAAAAGTGAAGTCTATATCTGAATTGTAGATGTACCTGTGATCTTAAAGAAAACAAGACCTGGAGCAGAGGAAGTATAAGATAAAGGACTGGAGGTAGAGACATGGAGAAGGGAGGAGGCTAAAGCTGGGGGCTCATGTTGGGCAGTGGCAATTTGGGGTCTTCAGGCTCTAATTCTCAGGGGTAGGAAAGAATACAGAACTGGGCCCAGCATGCCTTCTTGGATGGGGGTGAGGAAATCAGGACCTTCATTCCATCTGGAATAGGGATAGGGGGTTGTTGGCAGGACAGAGGGCAATTTGGAGATGGGAAGGATCAAAGTGTTCTAAAAGGGATGTTGTACATGAATAACCCAGGCCAAGCCATAGGTGAGAGTTTTACCTTGTCTGACACCTGAAGTTTTCTGTCCCAGGCCAGGAAGTTCTGGACAACAGGATCCTCTATGGAGGGAGATAGAGGGATGTTCTATTAGGCTGGAGATGGAGAGTGGTCCATTTGAGCCAAGAGAAGCAGCTGTTCCCACTATTCTGTTTCCTTCTTGGAAAAGGGACTCAAGACTGGAACCAAATGGGGAGAAGTGGAAAGAAGACAGCCCCTCTGGAGCCCCTGTGAGGTTATCAGCCTCTGCTTGAACACCTCCAGTGAGGGGCTTCTACTAACCAATCTCTTGAGGTTTCCTGTTCCATTATTGGACAGCTTTCATTGTTAAGAAAGAGAATTGGGAGGGAGGGTGGTTTGAAGGGTTAGGGATGAGGAAAGAGCTCGCTCCATTTCTACCTAGCAGCCTATTGAAGGCCTCGTGATCGTCAGGCCGCACTGTGGACATCCTCTGTCTCTTCAACTGCATTTTGAGACCAAACATGCCTTTCACAGCCCAGCTGTCCTGGGTTCCTGTGGGCCTCCAGTCTGAATGTTTCCTCTTTTGACCGTGAGTCCTGGGAGGCGAACTAGGAGGTATCCAGGGGGCTGAAAGAGAGAAGACCAGAAGCCAATAGCAAACTGTCTCCCTTTGGTTACCTTCTCTTGAATTCCTTTAACTACCTTCTCTCATCCTCTACTTCACAGAATCATCAAATCTAACAAGTGAAAGGATGTTTGAAATTCAATCAATACCTGTAAGAGGAATTAATTCTATACCATGCCCGCAAGTATGTCTCTGCTTAAAGACCTCTCATGATACAGAATTCACCATTTCCTGAGGCAATATATTCCCTTTCTGGATTCTAATTATTAAGGAAGTTTTCCCTTACATTGAACTGAAATATCTCTGCAACATCTTCTCAGTGCTCCTAGTTTGGCCTTCTGGGGTGAGTCAGAAAAAAATCTAATTCCCCTTCCTCATAATAGCCCTTTAGATACTTGAAGTCAGATATCATATCTTGCCTAAATCTTCTCTCCTCCAGGCTAAATATTCCCAATTTCTTCAACTTTTCTTCATATGGCATGATCTCTGACCATGCCACCATCTTAGACCCTGTCTTCTAGAAGAACTCCAACTAGTCAGTGTCCTGCTCTAGCCTTTTCATTCCCTCCAACTCTTCCCTTCACCCTCCCCAATATCCTGTCTTATGCTTCCTATTATTCTCTCTAATCCTTTCCTTCTAGCTATTCTCCTGATCAACTTCCACCCTTCCTTTCATTCCTCCCATCTCCTGTTCTGTGGCCACTTCCACTCTAACTTACCCCTTTTGTCCTGGGGCTCCATTCACCTTTCTCCACTACTCCTTCCAACTCCTCTACTTGCCATCTTGTGGTTCCATCCACCTCCCCCCCACCATTCTCCTCTATCCCTTCCACCTTCTGTCCTGTGGTTCAATGTGCCTCTCTCCCATCTTTTCCTCTGTCTTGTCCCATTTCTTGTACTATGGTTCTTTCTGCTCTTTCCAATCCTTCCCTCTAACCCCTCCTATCTCCTGTTATGTAGCCTGTTTCATCCTCCCTCAACTTTTCCTATATTCCCTCACAATCTTCTCATCCTTCCATCTCCACTCATCTCCCATCCTGTGGTCATTTCTAATCTACTTTTTCTACTTTTTCCTACCTCCAGTCTTGCCCTAAAGAAGCCTTTCTCTTAGCTTTTTGTTCTCACTCTCTCTCTCTCTCTCTCTCTCTCTCTCTCTCTCTCTCTCTCTCTC